AGATGAAAATGAAGAGGCTTTCCAGTACCATATTTGTTACAGTACATTTGCTCATAAAAAGATTTTTTTTTCCCTGTAATATGGACATTAAGAAATTTGGTTTTCTAATAAGCAATTAGAACTACATTTTTTAATTCATAAGTGGTAATCTTTAACTTTTTTTCGTCTTATTTGGACGTTTAGAAATAGAATTCTCTAATTAATATGCACTTCCAATCCGTTTTTATACGCCTCAGCCTCGGGTATTAACCGGTGCGGAAAATGTTAAATAAAATAAAACGTAGGTACAAAACTTAGTGGCGTGTTCAGTTGAAATTTCTAATTTTCTTTAAACTTTAGAAATTCTGATATATTTAATTTGAATTTTTTTAAACTTTTAAAAATCTCAAAGTATTTATTTGATATTTTAAAAAATATTACAAAATCATGAGTATTTAACTTTTGAAACTGAACTTTGTTAAGACCTTTTCAAATTTGCTGAAATTCCAAAATAATGAACTATAAGAAAATCCAACTCCAAATCTCACATTAAGACTTAAAATTTCATATAATTCTTCCAAAATCTGAAAAAAATTCTTAAAAGAACTAAAATCCCAAAGTCTTAAAATGTCACTCAAAATCCTAAACGAATACACCCTCTCAAACTAAAACTTTAGTATTTCAATATTCTGAATAAACACAATATAAATAACAAATTTTATCAGTCCCTGCATTTCAAAATGTTTGCTTGCCTAAAATAATTCAACACTTAACAAAATATCAGAAAAATCACCCACAAAAAGCCCCTGAAGTTTGGAGACATCATACATGACACATGAAGGCCCTTTCATTAAACAACAACACCATGCGTGTATGCAAAGGAGTACAAGAGAACACTTATTTCCCAAAAAAAATGTGTTAACAGTTTTTTGCCACAGAACCCTACTAAACTACAAACAAACTTCTCTAAATTGTTACCTAGGAAGATTTTGGTCAGCCACAAAAATGATTTGGAAGAAAACAAACCACATGTTACTTGGATTTCTTCTGGTCAGAAATCCTAGCACCCATGATTTTGACCACAACCTCATCTTTTGGTCTTAGTAGCTTAAGAGCTGGATGAACGTTTAAATTGCCTGCAACAATCTTCTCGCCCACATCAAGCTCGCTTAAATCAACATCAATGTAGGGTGGGATTATATCTGCTGGGCAGAGATATTTAATGGTTCTCTTGATTATGTTCAAAGACGACCCTGTACAAGCACCAAAGTCATTTTGCACTCGCATAATTTATCTTGGGTTTTTTTCTTGAAAAAAGAACAAACATGAAACGGGAAAAAAAAAAAAAATAGGAAAGTTAAACAAAAAAATGATGCACACTCAGATTCTCAGACGGGCCCCTTGAAACAAATCTGAAAAACTGCATCCCTACTACCCGTTATCTGTACAGCACAAGAGTTCTAATCCAACATCATCATTCTTTTTGTAATCTGGAGAATTCTATATATTTCATGATTATAAAAGTGATACGAAGGCCCCTGATATTTCATGTAATAGAATAGTAATGTCCCTCAATGCAATTACAATTATTTGGTCCTAATACCTCTATAATATATGTTCATAATATACAGTGACATCCCAAGATAGTTAATAAAATGATCAACTTCCTTAGCTGGTAAATCTTTGCACGACACAGTAACAAAGTGATGCGATTAGATATTAGAAGTTTTCAAAAATATTTGTCTCGTTTGAAAATAGAGATGGAAAAGTAGAAGAAGTTGTTTTTATATAAGATAACAATGTAACGACTAAAGTTGTTATGATATGAAAATAATAAAACACTCATTGATAAGATTCGCAGTTAGAGAGATGTAAGTAAGAGAATAGCATCTTTTGCTGAAAATATATGTACTGAATACTTTTTATTTTTTGATTGAAAAAAAAAAAAAAAAGAAAAAAGAAAAAGAGAGCGAGTGATAAAATGAATAGTACTTTTTTTCGAAAACTTTGTTTCATTTCCAGTTTCGATGAGATAAATCTTAACTTAAATATACAAAAATGAAAATTTTTGTACTTCACCTAGCCGTAAAATACAAGATCTCTAACAAATAGTAAACTGCTTATGTAAAGTTCAGCTTATGTTCTTATTTAGGTATCATACTTTAATATGCTAGACATAATTTACCAAATGAGACGATATTATATCATAAAACAAGCTGAGGTGCATAAAAGCAGGACAGGTAACAAAACTGTATTTTCAAATTTTCGGCATTACCTTTCTTGAGTCCGGGGGAGACATCATCTCCTCTGTAAACCAGAGGCACATCGACCTTCAACCAGGCATCAGATGGGGCTCGGATGAACGTGACATTAAGCACTGCATCAGTGCCTGCGTGAAGATGAAGCTGGCCAGGCATCAAGAAATTATTAAATCAGTATATGCTCCTAAAACAAGAGAAAATTTCTAACATGTTACAAACATATGGTATGCTCGAACCGAGACCATAAATTAAAATATGCAGTGTTTAATGTATCAGAACTGCCATACACATGGGTTCAAGTTTGTATTGTATGTTCCAGAGAAGATTCTTATGCTTACTTGAATGTCCTACTTTATCTTTTTTTTTTTAGAATTTGTAAATGAAATCATCGAAACAAAGTCAAATGAATGTACATGCGCACATAGTATTGACCGTAAAAGAGTCCTCTGTGTATGCGCGCGTGTGTGCAAGAATATCAGATAAACTCTTACTAGATTCTAGATGCGTCTGTAAAACATATACATGTATTCATTTTGCAGGTATGCGTACACCAAACTGAATAGAAGTGGAAGACACAACATTTTCAGTTTCTTAACCATTATATGCACCTTCAGATTTATCTTTATAAGTCGATTCACATGTCTTTCGATTACATTCACCGATTCAAGGCCACAGCTTCCACCGTTTTTTCCAAATCCTGTAGCCATGTCATGCCAACGTGACCATACAAATACTAACACAGATGAAAACTGTAAAGGTAGCATTCAGGTAGCATTCAGAAACATTGACTCGAATCAAAATTCCTTCCAATTAGATATAGAAGACGATATTTTCCTCTCACGAAACCTAGCATTTTAACTTCCACCAAGGAACAATGACAAATGGCGGCGAAGCACATACCTTCCGGGACAAGACCCGAACTTTCTCGACGATATCGTTGGATCCAAATTCGGGTCGGATCTCTAGATCAAATGTCCTGGAGCGAAAGAAGGACTGACCCAAGTGATCCACAAGCTTCTTTATCTGATTTCCATGTACCGAAATGAGGCGCTTGTTGCCGCCGTGCTGGCCATCTTTCGCCTCGAAGACAATGCTGGGTACACGGCCGGCTATCCTCTCCTTGGTGGCGATGCTCTTGCCGGAGACTTCGCGTGCGATCGCGAGGATGGTTTCGTCGTGTTTAGGGTTGGGCCTTGGCAGTCCATCCAAGTAGGTGAACTGGAGGGGATTATCCGCCTCCTGGAAGAGCGAGGCGGTGGAGAAGCGTCGGATATGAAGATTGACGGCGGCGCTAGTCAGTGATGCTGCTCGGCGGATCAGCATTTGGGTGGGTTCACCGCGAGCGAGGGGTTAAGGAGGGTTTGGAGATGAAAATGGTAGGTCGAGTGTTGGAGATGAGGGGTGTTTGGGCTGGGTGAGGTTTGGTTTGGGCTCTTTGTTGTCGACTAGGCCCAATAAGATCCAATGTTGATAGAGAAGTGTAAAGGTGATAAGAGAGAGAAGGAGACATGGATGAAAAGTGGAAAACCTGTTACTTTTGTTTGAGAAAATTAAATTGAGAGCTTATTGTGATTGGTTTATTTGTTAGTCACTGAAAATCCAATTAAATAATGGAGTTACATGTAACATACAAGGGTTAATTGCAAATAAAATCTTGTCTAATTGCAACTAAAACTCAACCTTTTCAATTTGACAAAAAAATACCAAATCTTTAATAAGTGTTGCAATTGTGTCTCAATTACCTTCCGTCGCCGCCGGACCACCGCAAACCGCCACCCGCCGTCGGCCAACTTCGCCGAATGTTGAAAAGTTTTATATGATATTGTAGCTCTCCTCCGTGCCGACAACATATTCGTGTTTCACGAAAAAATTCGGACAATAAGAATTCCAATTTTCCGATCAAAACATGTAGATCTACAAATTTTCTTCGGTGTTCTTTCGCAAATTCCCGGTGACTCGCTTTGACCCACGTGAATCCGAAGGTACCGTTGAGCTCCTCTCGTAAAGCCACATCTAGTGACGTCCACCTTCACCGGAATCAGTGACTTTTTCCAGTGACGACTTTTTCGGTCATCTATTTATCGTCGGAATTTTTTCGTGAAACTCGGATATGTTGTCCGCACGGAGGAGAGCTACAAGATTATGTAAAAATTTTCAACATTCGGCAAAGTTGGCCGGCGGCGGGTGGCGGTAGGCGGCGGTCTGGCGGCAGCGGAAGGTGATTGAGACACAATTGTAACACTTATTAAAGATTTGGTATTTTTTTGCCAAATTGAAAAAGTCGAGTTTTATTTTCAATTAGACAAAAGTTAAGATACTAATTTCGGTGTAATACATGCCCATCAATAAATAAACCTTGAGGACTTTAATGTGGCACAATATTTCCCTACGTAATGTTGCAGTGTAGATGCATAAATTCGGAGTTAGAAATTAACGACCTAACCTCTCAAATAGTAGTGTTTTGGGACAAACACAAACGTAGCTTGAACAGCTCATGTTTAATTATATTTAAATTTTAAACAATATTTGCGCTTGTTCATTTATTATTTAAAAAAAAAAAAAAGTGTTTGAGCTCGTTTTATTATTCGTCAAAACTTGAGATCATTAATGTTCGAATAATTTAGTAAACAATTTTTTTTTTAATTTTGATTAACTCAATATCTGCTCGTTCGAGCTCAAAAATGAAAAATAATAATAAATAAAAATATTTTTAGATTTTCATGCACAATATTACACACATAAATATAAAAATAAAACAAAATAATATTAAATTAATATTCAAGAACATTATCAGAGCTCATGTTCGTTTCAATATTAAACCAACTTAATTTTCTGTTCGAACGCGGCCTGATTACCTAACGAAGAGCTCTCAATTTATTAACAGCCATAACCTCCACCAATTTGATGGACGGCAAAGTACATCTTATCACTGTAACAATCAATACAGAAGCATAAAGGTTTGATGGATGGCAAAGTACATCTTATCACCTGTAACAATCAATGCAGAAGCAGAGTACCTTTATGTCGGTGCTTTCAACGGATCAAGTTTAATCACAAGGATAACTTATTATTTGCAATAATAATATGGAAAAACTAAAATCCATTTTCATTGGTGCTAGAATACACCAACACACTATAAATCCACTCATAAACAGAAAATAGTAAGGTCACTACTGCAACATACAAACAAGGTTCACAAAGCCAAAATACAAGTGGAATTAAAACTGGAAAATGGACAGAGGGACATGCAAAGCATTCTTGAATCTACGTTTATGATTTAACTTGCTCTGAAATACATTCACTATTATTTCTAAAATTTCTGTTTCTAGTCTAAAAAATCTTTACATAACACAGGGAAATAACAAAGGGCAATCACTAACCTTATCCAGTAGAGAAAACCATTTTAATGCCAATCCCCAACAAATGTACAACCTATGCAAAAGGTTTGGCTCGATAAAATATTACACACAACCTGATCCTTTTACTTTTTCGTCGTGCAAAAGATCACACTGAATTTGCAATCCAATACGATTTACGCCAAATATCAAATCCGGCTCATCCTCAAGAAGACTTCCCAGGGCACGTACAAGTAAAATCAGTTATACATGATTTCACTTCATCAAATCCAAAAACACAAAACCATTCCACAGACTATGAAGCAGCATGGAGGGCAACAGATTCCTCGACCGCGCGTAAATCACGCCCATCACAACCCCTAAAAAAATCAACGGCAACATCCTCTGCACATTGAAATGGGCCAGGGCAAACGCGAACGCACTCACCAAAACCGAGCACCACACAGGCATGCACTTGGTCAAGGAAGGCAAAAGGAAGCCCCTGAACACAATCTCCTCCCACAAAGGGGCACAAACAACGAGAACCAAAGCATAAAGACCCATGGCAACCGGATCGCGAGCCATAATCGACTGCTCAACGCTCGAGAGGGCTACGGGCGTCGAGGGCAAAATGGGCAATATGTCCAAGTTGAACTGCGAGAGGCGGTTGACCAATGGGAATAGGAAGCATCCGATTAGAACGTCGAGTGGCCAGTTCCCTTTCAGGCTGAACCTAAACCAATCGGGCGGCAGTGGCCGGAATCGTGACAGACAGCGGTGGAGGATCAATATTCCGGCTAGGCCTTGGGTAACATCTGTTATGAGGCTGAACAGAGCCTGGCCTCTGTATGTGAGGGATCTCTTGCTGAAGCCGGCAATGTGGGCCCCAAACGGGATCATCCATGTGCCCACGAACCAGAAGGAGATGACCCAGAGGAGTGTTACCTGATTTCATTGTAATTTTGATGATGACGATTTTATATGAAATGGGTTTTTTGCGGTCACAGAAGAAAGAAGAAGCAGCCATACCTGTAGAATGGTCTCTGCAGTCCATGGTACAGTCCACGGCTTCCCGATTGCTCTGAACAGTGCATCTGCTATCTGGGGAGGGGCGAGAGAGAGAGAGAAAGAGAGAAAGAACAAATGCCATAAATAATTAGTATATAATTGCACAAATAAAAAATACTCCCACTCTCATGATAATTCGAAGGTCATTCTAACCATTCATCTGCATGGCATCAGAAGTAGAAATTTTGGATCACGAGATAAAAGAAATTATTTGCCCTTCCAAAGAAAAATTTCCACCAATAGTTCATGGTCGACACAATGAAGTAAAAGTTATACATATTGCCAAAGTTCAATCATCTTATCATCAAGAAGAAAAATCAGACAATATCCCTCAATAAGCATTACATAATTCATGGGAAGGCATTCTTACCTTTTTAAGGTTTGTACTCCAATGACTCCCTTCGAGGGTTGGTTTAATAATTTCTGTCTTCTCATACTCTTGTAGGAGTTCGTCAACGGACTCCGAATTTGGGGTGTCAGATGAGAACTCCTCATGTCTGAAGCATGAGATTTTCCACTTCTGAAACCCCAAAAAAGAATAAAAGCTCAGCATAGAAACATATACAAGTACTTATGCAGACAACTAATGCATATGCATAAGCAAATAGTACCTTTCTTTAATAAAGGAAATTGATTTCAAATATAAAGTCAAGTCTTAAAACCTATTTTATTTATTTATTTATTTATTTGTTTATTTATTTTTTGTTGTGTATCAGAGCAATCACTCAGTTCCATACCTAATATAAGTTGTTCTTAATGAAGCTGATATAAAAGAAATTCTCGTTTTAGATTTATGAGGAATTAACAGGTCCTCCAACAAGCATCCGCCACCTATACTTTACATAGTAGCCATGGCTGGTTCTAATAAATATCATCATTTCACTACTAACATAAATGATAAGCTGAGAATCCATCTTGCACACAAAAATTCGCTAATTTTACGTTTAACCAGGATAAGACATCCTCCACAATACAGAAACCACTTAATAAAGAATACTATTACATTTATATACAAATAAAATCAAATCTAATGCCCAAGCTCATAACCGTAATCTAACTCAGTAAAAAGAAAATATCAATGAATTGCATCCAACAAAGTAAACTATATATTTTTATTTAGAATTGCCGTCTATTATATACCTTGGCTGACAACTTGTGATGATTTCCGGCAACCCGAAAGCTCAAGATAGGGGCAAGTGGCGATTTAGAGGAGAATTTCGAAGACTTGAATCTAGGGCTTAAGGATGAGAGGTGTGGGCGCTGAGGAAGGGAGTGAATGCAATTGGAGCTGAGCATCAGATTACAATTACGCCGGCGAGCAAAAACCCCAGAATTACCAACGGAGAAAGATATTGAAGACATGGGTTATGTGCATATCGCACAAAAACCCTAGCTTTTTTCCCCAATTCAATTTTGCTTTTTCAGGCTTGTTTTTTATTCTGGTATTCGGGTTAAAGAGAGAGGGTCTGCTTTGGATTCTTTCGTTTTCTATGGTAGGAAGGAGGGTTGGAAGGAGGGTTGGTGTGTTCAGAGGAAATTTATTTTCTTTGTTATCTCTGTAGTTATTGGGCAACTTGTATCTTGTCTGTTCTTTTCTTCACATTATTTTTTTAATGGTCAAATTAAATGGCCGTTACTACTTTGCAAAATCGATTGCGTTTTGTATCAGCTGTTTTTAACAAGTGGATTATATCGGTGATTTGTGAAAAAATTCAAAAAAATATTTGTTAAATTAGCTATTTGTAACATGCTGTTAACATACAAAACTATTTAAAAAGATATTCATAAACTTAATTGTTTTTAACCTTGCAATTAGTTAGAAAATACAAATTATTTAGATTTTCTTTTTAAATTTGTAGAAGTTCTAAGATTAGAGTTATTTCTTCTCTATTTTGTTCTTTGATTTCTCGAGGAGCAAAATTGTGACTGGCTATTTTTTCCCCCCAAACGCCTGGTGTGAAAAGAACATATGAGGAGGAACTGATAATTGGCATCTAATTTCATTGATTCTAACAGCTAGTTTCAGGAAATAATTGGCATCTAATTTCATTGATTCTTTCTCCCCATCTTGAATAGAAAACGTAGAAGTGATCGAGAGGTGGAACTGATATTCCTTTCTCGGGTCGGGATCCCATTCTCTTTCTCTATGAGGTCTACCAGGCTGAACCTTTACATTGACCGATATGAGAAAGCATTCAAGGTCCTTCCTCAATATAAATAAAAAATTAATATTTTTAAATAATAATAATAAATTTTAAATGCATGAAAATATAAGAACATTACAAGACCAAAATAATTTAAATTAATATTACACAAAAAAAGTAGCAGTTGCTAAATTTTTTGGGCAAAAGAAGTGTAGAACTGACGTGAATTTGTAGGCAAAGAATGGGTGATAGAAAACTTAAATTATTGATACATATTGGGAAATGTGATATAGATAAAATTAAATTAAATATATAAAAATAAAAGTAAAAATGATTAAAATTAAATGAAAAAAAATAAAATAAAAAATGCACCAAAGTGCATTAAAATTAAATGAAAACACAAAAAATTAAAAAGGCACAAAAGTGCCGTTCAATTGAATGAACGGACAAGTGGTGGCCCACTCCTAGATGGATGACTACAATGCACTTAATGGAAGTTGGCCATTTAAACGGGGCAAATTAATGCCCATTGCGGAGGCTCTAATGTTATGACCTTCTATAATTTTTACAAGCCTTTTTTGGACAGTTGGGTTTAAACATGTTCAAATTTGCTCGTCCGCCGGTTCCAAGCCCAATATGTTGGAACCAACATCTGCCCAGGGGAAGTACTTTCCCGGTTCCTAAACTCGGGAGGTATGATTCCGGGTCGGCTTGTTTTTATTTTCCTATATATTTTTCTCAACTAAAATACATTTCTCAAGTCAATTTTTATTATTTACATTTTTTGCACCTACCCGTCGGGTCAGGCTACTGACCCATCGGTGCAGCCCGATGGCTATATCTAATTGGATTAGAAAGTCAAATCCAAAACGTAATTCATGTGCAAGTAGCGAATGTGGCAGCCCTGGCATGATCAACTCTAACTAGAGTTGTTAAACGAAATAAGTCGCTCGTGAGTTCGAGCTCAACTCGTTAAAGTTCGAGTTCGAGCTAGACTCGTTTATCTCGAACTCGTTTAAAGTTTGTTTAGATAACGAGACGAATTCAAAAATAAGATTTTTTATGTAGTTTTCTACAGTTTGACTCGTTAAGCTCGAGTTCGGTTTATCAATATTAATAAATAATTAAACTTGAACTCGTTTATCAGCTCGTTTACACCTCTAGTTATAACTATTATTCTTATAATATGCAACTACTCATTTTATTTTGGAATTTGTTAATAGTAATTTTTCCTATTTTTGTTGTTATAGGTTCTTAATAAGGTTTAATGCAGATATCATTTTTTATTTATAATGTGTAACATTTACTATATGTCAATATTATTTTATAAAGTTTTGAGTTATGTCGTTTTATAAATACAATTCAACTAAACCTATGTATACACATTTAAAATTAAATATTTTATATATTAAATTCAACTTTTTTCACTAAAATTTGTAAATTAGATTCAGTCATTTTAATTAAAGCCAAGACAGTTGAAAAGAATAAAATAAAAAAAAGATTTAACTAATGAAAGTCTAAAACGGAATTAAAAAGATAAATAAAAGTGATTGTTAAAATATAAATAAATATAACTGGGATACATATGTTTGTTCAATAATAGCAAAGTATTTTCTATACCACAGTAACGATATTTTCAATTATAATTCGTTTAGTATTTAAGTATTAACACAACTAACATGACCTCACTTAACCAACAAAACCTTACATGGGAATCTTGCCATGTTATAAAATAAAATAAATCATCTCCTCCTACTAACCCTTTTTTTTTTCCTTGAAAAATAACATGATTAATACCTCCCCTAAAAAGCCCACATATGCCAATATAAAATTTTATTCCATAGAGTGTGTGTGTGTGTGCATAAAATATAATGGTTGTCTTGGTGGATGTCCTTGTCCCATTCTTCCTCCAACAATTTGTTTATAGAGAAGCAAGACATAGCACCGTTGACTAAGCACAAACAAAGTCAAACAAGCCACCCATTCATCCACAAAAACACACTATATGCCACCAAAATCTTGATATCATTAATACTTCCTTCCTTCAATTTTTTTTTTTTTCTTCAAGTGTTTGTGAGGAGGCTTTTTAAGATGGACCAAAGAGAGATCGACAAACTCGTCTCGGCCAACAAGCTACAAGAACACAACATACGCGATCAAGAAATCAAAGCCATCCACAACGTCAACTTGTACTTCATATTCCAAGCCGTCATTCTAGGCTCCATCACCGCCTCCTCAACCGCCACCTGTCGCCAGTGGTGGGTCCCGTTCAGCCTCTCCCTCATGGCGGCCCTCACAAACCTGCTGGGCTTATGTGGCGCCATTTCGCGCGTTCTGAAATCGAGGGATGAGCTTGATCAGAGCCTTTCGGATGTGGGCTTCATGAAACTTTATCCAATCACGAAAGAGCAGCTGGCCCAAGTCATGCCTGGGTCACCCTTGAGTCACGAAGGGAAGGAGATTGTACGGCCCAAGATTTGTGGGTTGAGAAGGTGGACACGACTTTTCGTGGCTTACTTGTTGATCGGTTTGTTTGTTGGGTTTAGTGGGGTCGTGATGTATGGTTGCCGTATGATGCTTTGTAATACGGGTGATGGAAAATGTGTCAAACTCTGTTAATAGCTACACTTTGTGAATGATTGCAACTTGAAAGTCATTTGTACAACAACAACAAGAATTAACCACAAAAGTGGCTTTGAAATGATTATGGGGAATTTATAATTGTAGGTCACTCTGCTTTTCTTTAAAAAAACAAAATTAAAACTAATATAAACCTTAAGAGAAGCTTTTGTGATTAACACTATTTCCTGATTTTCAGAAAGCAGCTTGAGGTTATATCTGGATCATTGCTTTTTGTAATCTGCGAAATCTGCAACAGATCACATATAGAGAGAAACCTGTTTCAAACATTAATATTTACAGTTGCTTCTCAATCAAGGTAGCATTGTTATGGGAAAGATGCCAGGGAAAAAGCATACATATTACTGTTGATTATTAGTACATAAACTTATGTACCAAGTTTGTATACACTAAGCACGAGATTATAATAAGATAAATCATAAATGGGCACTCACCAAAAAAGACATATAGGCCAGTATTATTCTTTAGGAGAGAGTCCAGCGGTAAGAACAATACCTTAAACTTAAACATGGAGAACAGAATTGAAGCCACTAACGGAAAGGGAATAAATCGAATCGATGTAGATTAAGTTCTGCTCTATTTTTCCTTACACGCAGCAGACAAAAACCTATTCAAAAATTCCACACATACAAATATGGAATTTCTGCACAAGTCTGATCTAGCATATCAATTCGATACTTGTATATTTATTAATATTCAAATGTTACCTTATACTATCTTACATTTTTCAGAAACAGATCTAAATAGCCATCACACAAGAATAAGCTTTATGGCTAGAAATGAAGTTGGTTTAGGCAAATGGAGTCAAGGACATGACAACAAATTTGCGTTGATGAATTTATGAATTATAAATATTTAGTTGTAGTATAAATTAAAAAAATTGTAATTAAATATAATATAATATAAGATATACAAATAATTGAAATATAATGAGACAGATGGTCGAAACAATTCTAGACTTTATATCATGCATTTTTTGACAAATCTACAGTTAAGAACATGTAAAAGAACAAGATAAAAGTTTAAAAAAGTTATTAAATATGATAAATAATATTAAAAATAAATAAGTTGTGACACGTACTAATAAATATGAAACAAAGTAATAAATAAAAATGTTATAATTAATAGAAGAAATATAAACCTTTTATAAATATACTTATCGACGTAAACGAGCTGAGTTGTTAATGTTAGTTTTTTCTCCTTATAATTTATGTGTAAATTTGATGTGATAGACAATAGTTATTTGTACATTTATCCATGTAAGTTACCAAAAAAAAAATCTTTATTATTCTGATTTTAAATAACTTTTTATTTGCGATATTAGTTTTTTTTTAACATAATATATAAATATCATATTGAACATATAAAATAGGAAATATTCTAATTTTTAAATATTTAATATGTAAGAAATATAACTCAATTGGTAAATTAATAGGTAATCTTGAGATAAAATAATGAGTGATTAAAAAAAAAAAATATACGAACTAAAAAGTTCATGTGTTTAATATATTTTTAATAGAAAAATTGTAAACACAATTAATCAATAAATACTACATAAAAAATTAATGTTTAAGAGGACTACAACAAATTTCTATATTGCAATGAAAAATTCAACTGTAATGTAATCTACAGAAAATTCCAACGAATATTTCATAAATATTGCTTTCATTGGAAAGTTTCATTGGCTATTCCAACTGGAAGGGGGAAGGAGGGGGTGAGGTGTTTATTGGTACCTCAAGGACGAGTGTTTCTTTTAAAATATGAATTACCTAAAAAATTCTTACTTTAGCATATTTTTAATGGCAAATTAGTAATACACTAATACACATCATATTTTATATTTTTAAATATTAAAATGAATTACCTAATAAACCCTTACTTTGACATGTTTTTTAGACAAATTAGTAATATACTAATGTCCATCATATCTTATATTTTTAATTATAACTAATATTTAATTAATAAAATACAAATACATGAACAAATCATTTCACACTACTAAAATCAACTACAATATGTTGGTTTGACACATTATTTCTCACGAATTTGTTTCCTTCCACATATCTCTAAAACTGTTTGATAGGATATAGAATTGTTGTTTTGAAAAATGTTATCATTTTTAATATAGTTTTAGTAGTAATATTGTAATCACATTTCATAACTCTAATATATAAAAGTTCCTTAAAGAAATTAAAATTGATCTAACAAAAAAAGCATAATAAACACTTATAAAACTAGAAATCGATATTGTTTTTATCTCATAACGACCACAAAGTATAGAAACATTATTTCAAAATAACCTATACAAAATGTGTAATAGTATGCAAGATTAATTGTCGAATGATTGTTCTGCAATCTAAACTTCTAATCAATTCAATTTCTTCGATACATAAGACCAGAATATTTTATGAAATTGTATAATACTAAAACTTAATCTATTTGTTTTCACGTCATATGAGATACCACTTTAGCAACATGGATTAATTTTAACCATATAATTATCTACAAATAAATTAAAAATATCTCGAGAATCATAATATGATTTACATGTTGAAAATTAATTATTTTAATCAAATAATTATATTCATATATTATCATTACTCATCTATCTATTAATATGTGTTATTATAATAAAATAGTTTTTAAGAAAACAATGTACGAAATAAAAAATTTATATATTTGAGTATAAATGAGAAGATTATAATTATATATAATATAATATAAAGATATAAAATTAATTGATATAAATAAGACATATGATTCAAAAAAGTGTTATACTTTAATTTTATGTATTTTTTAACAAACCTAAAAGTTATACACACACACATATATATTAAAATACATATGAAAGAACAGTTAAAGTTAAAAAAACAATAACTCTAATAAATAATATTAAATTTATAACTAAGTTGTAATACTTACTAATAACTATGAAAAAAAAGTAATAAATAAAAATATTATAATTAGTTAAAGTATTTGTAGAACTTTTAAATTTGTATTTATCGACATAATCAAATAATTGTAAATAATTATGTTTTTTAAAATTTTATGAACAAAAGTTGACTCGACAATATTATTGATGAATTTATGAATTATAAATATTTAGTTGTAGTATCAATTAAAAAAAAAATTGTAATTAAATATAATATAATATAAGATATACAAATAATTGAAATATAATGAGACAGATGGTCGAAACAATTCTAGACTTTATATCATGCATTTTTTGACAAATCTACAGTTAAGAACATGTAAAAGAACAAGATAAAAGTTTAAAAAGGTTATTAAATATGATAAATAATATTAAAAATAAATAAGTTGTGACACGTACTAATAAATATGAAACAAAGTAATAAATAAAAATGTTATAATTAATAGAAGAAATATAAACCTTTTATAAATATACTTATCGACGTAAACGAGCTGAGTTGTTAATGTTAGTTTTTTCTCCTTATAATTTTATGTGTAAATTTGATGTGATAGACAATAGTTATTTGTACATTTATCCATGTAAGTTACCAAAAAAAAAATCTTTATTATTCTGATTTTAAATAACTTTTTATTTGCTATATTAGTTTTTTTTAACATAATATATAAATATCATATTGAACATATAAAATAGGAAATATTCTAATTTTTAAATATTTAATATGTAAGAAATATAACTCAATTGGTAAATTAATAGGTAATCTTGAGATAAAATAATGAGTGATTTCTGAAAAAAAAAATATAGGAACTAAAAAGTTCATGTGTTTAATATATTTTTAATAGAAAAATTGTAAACACAATTAATCAATAAATACTACATAAAAAATTAATGTTTAAGAGGACTACAACAAATTTCTATATTGCAATGAAAAATTCAACTGTAAGCTAATCTACAGAAAATTCCAACGAATATTTCATAAATATTGCTTTCATTGGAAAGTTTCATTGGCTATTCCAACAAAGTTCAAATTAAATTACATGAACTTTAGTGGATTTAAAGATTTTAATTATTGAATTTCCATTGAATTTTTTTTTTACCATATTTCAATCGTTGGAAAAACTGTCATTGGAATTGTGCAAAAATTCAATGAAAATTCCATTGGAAAGCTAATTGCAGTGATAGATCTAAAATAATTTCATATTGGGGGCATTATTTAGTTAATAAAAAAAAATATACCATCAAAATAACATGTCATTGTAATTTATAAATTAATCTATCACCTTTCTCATTTTGTAATACATTTTAATAAATCAATACAGTCACAATAAAATAAAACATATTTAAGAAACCAAAAAACATGATTTTTCTTAATTCAACTTAAGAAGATCGTTATATTCTTGTTGTAATTTTCGTTGGAATTTTCTCATTTTATTGTAGTAAAAGTAGGACTCCAAATCTATAAAAAAAATTGCATTATATATAATATTGTGTGCAACTATTATTATGAAAATTTTGATATGATAGAAAATATAACACATTCAATGTAATTGTCGTTTAATTTATGATAATAAGTAATTTTTATTTCAAAACAAACAAGATACTTTGAAAGGTTTATTTTATTAGTATTATAATAACTAAATTAGGGGTAAGAATGATGAGAAAACTTATATCTCTCACTAAATCAAAGAGTAAAAATACTGATAAAATTACTTAATGTACAATATCAATTGGAGCTGGCTAATGAGAAATATAAAACATACTTAAGATACACATATATTTTAACTAGAACTTTTAGGTACATAATATATATATATATATATATGGGTATGTTAATCTTAAAATTTTTTAGTTAAAAATTTAATTACTCTCTCATTAAATTTTTTAATTTTGAAATACTTCATATTTTTTATTTGTTACTCTTTTTATATGTAATATATCACATCATTTCTTTTCAATAATGTTTGAGTGGACCAATATATTGCAAATAAAATAAAAATAATATAATTATTTATATCGATATA